GCCTTCTTCTGGAAAACAGTCGGTAACACTGGCCCTCAGCAAACACTCGTGCATGGAGGGGGCTGAGCACCGGCCACACACATCCCTGCCCTTGAGGCAGGAGCTCGTTTGGGAGGGGGCGCGCGAGAGGGGCTACAAAGTGAAGGAGAGATCCAAGCTTCCAGGGAGGTTCTAGGAAGTGACGGGGAACAAATGGAGCTGGGCTTCGAAGAGCTGCCACCAGTGTGGGTGGGGACAAGGCAAGTATGTGAGACAGACCAGAAGGAATCCATGAAGGCACGAGGAGCCACCAAGGCTCCCTGGGGAAACTGCGGGCAGTCCGAAACAGCTGGACTGCACACTTGCCACCCGAGAGTCGGGTGAGGTGGGATGCTGGAGAAGACAGCAAGTTGTCAAGGAAACTCTCTGTGGCCACCATCCATCCCCCTGGCTGGGAGATGCAGCTGAAAGGCTTAACATCCCCATGTCAGGGAGACCGTTCTGAAGATGTCAGAGAACATGATGGAAGAAGGCGGAAATAAAACCGCCAAGCAGCAGCAGAGTGACCAGGGCACAGTGGAGGTGATGGGAGAGCCGTGAGAAAGGAAGCAGAAGGAAGGACAGCCACTCACTGCAGGACGGACAGAAGCCATACAGACAAGGGCCATTCTTCAACAGAAACGAGGTACAGTGACCTTCGCTAATGAGACTGCAGTCAGGGCCCCTGCACCTCCCCTCTCATAGCCTGGCTGTCCTGGAACTCGCTCTGTAGACCAGGCTGGCCTCAGACTCAGAGATCCACCTGCCTCTGCCTCCCCAGTGCTGGGATTAAAGGCGCCCTGTATATGGGAGTTTTTGCCTTGCAGGTGAGGTGTACCGCATCTATGCAGTGCCTCTCCAGGCCTTTTAATCACTCAAAGTGAGTAAGTTAAAGAGATCATTAAAGTTCATGGAACTGGTGTTACAGACAGTCGTGAGTTTCCTTGTGGGTACAGGGAATCAAACCTAGGTCCTCTGCAAGAGCAGCCAGTACTCTGAACAGCTGAGTTATCTCTTCATTCCCCCAAACCATAAACAACTTTTAAGCTCCAAAACAGCTATGGCCACACAGAGAAACCCTGTCTAAAAAAAAATGAAACAAAACAGATTAGAACAAAATCAAGGGCTCCGGCCGGGTGGTGGTGCCGCACGCCTTTAATCCCAGCACTCAGGAGGCAGAGGCAGGCGGATCTCTGTGAGTTCGAGGCCAGCCTGGTCTACCAAGTGAGTTCCAGGAAAGGCGCAAAGCTACACAAAGAAACCCTGTCTCGAAAA